ATTAAAAAACTAAAAAATGGTTTTCCTCTAAAAAATAAAAACCTTTAAAAAATCAATAATCAAAACTAAATATGAAATCAAGTTAACTAGCCAAGTACATAGAAGCAGTTCAGTTTGTAAGAGTTTGTAATTTAAAATAGTATTTGTTTGATAAAATCAGTCTTGCATTTATAGAAATATTATAGATTCTCTCGAGAAAATTAAAATGCATTTTATTTTTATAAAATTACGCTATTATGTCCCCCCAAATAAATAATAGGTAAATATGCATATTAGGTTACATCTCACCGATGACTTTGACCTTGACATATGTTGTCAAGGACATGACCCTGAGTAACTTTTCTTTATAACTTAACCGGCGGTCTCTTATAGTTTCTGAGATATTTAAAGTTATAATTTCACAATTTTAATGATTTTTCTATTATAAAATAAAGAAAAATAAAGGTTGTTTACATTGTATTTATGTAGATCAAACGTGAAAAAAGTGTTTCTTTATATTTCCAGAGACAAAGCTCTTTGGGTTTTTTTACTTTCCACGCAAAGCGAGGTTCAACGCAAACCTATGTGTCTAGTTTGTTTATAATGGAGCCCACTGCGTCCACGCATATACTTTCCCATCTACACAACAATTGTGGGGCGAACTTTGCTTTGTTTTGTAAAGTATCAGGTCTACCGGAAAGTTCTGTCCGTTTTTGGAATAAAACAAAATACAAATTTTTATTACCGTCAATAAACTTTATTAAATAATGTAATTGCCATTATTCGGAGAAGTATTGTCAGCAACTGGATAATTTAAATACAGCAGTCCAAGAAAAGAGGCCGGCGATGTACAATAGGAAGAACATCATACTGCATCATGATAATGCCAGGCCACATGCTGCTTTGGATACTCGTCAAAAAATTGCAGAACTAGGCTGGAAAATTCTGTCGCATCCACCATATTCCCCGGACTTAGCACCCACCGACTATCACTTGTTTTTGTCCTTACAAAATTTTTTGAGGGGCAAAAAATTAAAAAATGAAGAAGATATCAAACAAGCACTGGTTCAATTTTTCGCATCAAAAGATAAAACATTTTTCGAAAAAGGGATATACAAATTGCCCTCACGCTGGCAAGAAATCATTAATAATAATGGCAATTACATTATTTAATAAAGTTTATTGACGGTAATAAAAATTTGTATTTTGTTTTATTCCAAAAACGGACAGAACTTTCCGGTAGACCTAATATATGCGTGAACACAGTGGGTTCCGCCCCCCCCCCCACCTACGGGGGGGCACCACTTCCATTAAGTTATAAGGAAAAGTTACTCAGGGTTATGTCCTTGACAACATATGTCAAGGTCAAAGTCATCGGTGAGGTGTAACCTAATATGAATATTTACCACATTTATTAGTGCAATGCATGATAAAGCTTTTAAATATATTTGTATAAGTTATAATATTTCTACATAAGCAACGAGCGACGATTAAATTAGAAGAAAAAGTTACTCAGAATTATGTCCTTGACAACATATGTCAAGGTCAAGGTCATTGGGGCTGGTTCCTCTATTCGCTATATTTACCATTAAATGTACTAGTGTTAATAGAATTGTCTATTAATGATAATCACTTACTACCAAATCAGCAAGACCTAATAAAAGAGAGATTTCATAAAGATTACTGTACATATGCACATGTATATAAATTATCTTTTTTTTAGCTTAACGAAATTATTATAATTATAATTTATATTATTATAAACTAAAGAATAGATTTATTATTTTTAATTTAATACAGATAGATTGTATAATTTATTTCATGATGAACTGTTTTTTAAGAAGTTTATTTTTCTATAAACAAACAATCTATGACCATTTTTCTTCTGCATTAATAATTAACAAAAAAGGTTAAAAATATGTGATACAATATAACATTGAGAAATATTTCAATTTGCCGTTAATAATATTACACATATTTCTACTTAACACTGTGTGCTTTTTAAATAAACTGAATATATTTCTATAATCTCTTTAAGTTGGCAGTTTTTTTAAAATTATTTTCCAAATTGATAATAGGATATTTATATAATATTTACTTTCATCGATAAAAAAATTGATAAAATTTGAAAATTATAAGTTTATGAAAATAAGAACTAGAAATAGAATAAGAATCAGAGATATCCATTATATTACTTCAATATACATTGCATTTTTTAACTAATCGATTAATGAAGTATAAATAATATATTACATACTATTTTAAGAAAATATGTGTAAAAAACGTAATTATTGTTTTTTATTAATAGATTTATTAAATAGATTTTATTAAACGGATAAGAGAATTTTATAAGCTTTATCGATAATAGTACAATTTTTATCAAATGCTTTTAAATTTTTTGTGTTGTGTGTATATATAGTGTAAAATTCCACGTAGTGTAATTACGCCTTTCATAACATAATATCAACAAAAATAGAAACAATAATCGCCTGTTAATGTGTTTTTTACTTTAAGTTTCGCATTATCATTGCAGTTAATTTATAAATAGGCTTATAGATCAACGCATTTTAAATATATCTTTGTTTTATTAAAAATGCATTATCTGAACTAGAAAATAATATATTTTTGACTGGTGAATTCAAATATTTTTTAGATTCTTATAAAATAATTTTTATAAAATAATTCTTATAAAATAATTTTGATCTTCAATTCCTTCTTTACGATTGCTACGGTCCTATATTTGTTTACATCGTCTGTTTTTATTATATGTCAGATAACACACACGATAAATTCTGTTTCCAAAATACTTTGTATCGATACTGGATCCAAGAAGGATCATTTCTCTGCTTAGCTTTAAAATTTAAACGAGCCACAATTATACGTCAATCGCTTCGCATAGTAATAAAGTGTAATAAAGTATAGACTACGTTATATATATATCGGTAAGTAAAAGTATTATACATTATTTAGACACATCTCACAGTATATACACACACACATACACATATACACACACACAAACTTGTTTTCTATCATCTTAAAATACATATTGGCTACATACTTTCGTAAATTATTATAATACAACGCGTAAGCTAGATTTATTAATTTTAAAAAATTGTTAATTTTTTTATGCGATATTGTTATTATTTATTAATTAAAACTATTATTATATTAAAAGAAATGTTATAATTTGCTGATTGTGCTGATTCCTGAATTGCTACATTTCT